AAGGCCGAGGGGCCGAGCTCATGCCAGTCCGTGCAAGTCCGGCACCGAGGTGGAAAACCAATCCGCCAGGTAAGGCGGGTCAAAACCTGCGAGGGCCATGCGGGCCGGCGCAAGATATGGCGGCGCCTAAAGCGGAAGGCCGTGCTGGCACCCAAGATACGGTCGTGACCGGCACGTGAAAAGCCCCGGCGAGAGGAGGTCGAAACGGCAAGTGCTTGAAGACCAACTGCATGTGAAGGACCCAGGGCAAACGGCAGGAAGATGCGACAACTGAGGGGCCCGGCAATTTCCTGGCATTTGCGCAACCCTGCCCCAAGGCGGGGCAGGGTGACGCAACAGACTACATGTGTTTGCTGTTTCATCTTCCAACCAGCTGCAGTCTAAAGACACAACCACAGTGGGGGCCTGTGTCAAGAATCGCCTTTTGCATCCCCCGAAGAATGTGGCTTTCCTGGTGGCTTCCCCTTGCAACTACGAAAAAGGCGACCCTCCAAACCACCACGAAGAAGGGAATAAAAAAGAGAAGAAGAAGAAGAAGAAGAAGAAGAGAAGAAGAAGAAACCACCACGAAGAAGGAAACAAATAGAAAAAAAAAATCACGGGGAGCACAAAAAAAGAAGAAGCCGACGCGCGATTTTTTGGTTGGAGGCCGCGTCCGGCCTCCTGAAGCTTCCGAGTCTTCAACTTGGAGCGCAGGTGCATGTGCTCCTTCGGCTGCTTCGCGTCCACCTGCTCGTGGCGTGTTTTTTTTTTTTGTTTTGCTTCTTCTTTTTGGCTTGGGTTTTTTTTGTTCTTTTGTTTCTTCTTTTTGGCTTGGGGGAGTCTTTTTTGTCCGAAGGATTCCCGGGCCATGGGGGTGTTTCAACACCGGGCCACGGGGTTTTGCAACACCGGGCCTTGGGGTTTTTCAATACTGCAGCATACTGCAGCACATGAGACGACCAGGAAACAGGCAGGCCACAATAAGGCCAATTGATGGTATTTAGCGCTTCCAGGCCACTATTCAACATGGGAAACCACCATGCAAAGAGGTGGCTTGATGCTTGGTTACCTACAGTATCTGGAAGCAGGATCACTTAACCCTTGCTTACTTAGCAAGTTTCATCACTGGATCAACCCTGGAGAGCCATAGGAGGGAAGACAGTGCAGCCGAAAACCAAGTGAGTTCGTTTCTTTTCCATCGTGTCAAAGCCACTTCAGAACGCCCCGTGATTCTTAGAGAGGGTCTTCAGATGGTTTACACCGTGACTCAGAAAAAGCACGACATGTATGCAATATATATATCTTATGTACAATGGCTGCAAATAAAGGTTGTATGCATCCCAAGTGTTTTGGGAGTAATTGAGATGGGTGTGGGTTTCGGAACACAAATAATCCAGGGCCTGTCTCAAAAATCCCTTGGTAACCTGACATGTCAGCTATTAAAAATGCTTATATAACCCTTGTGAGGAGAGGATACTGCATGAACCTTCAGCATGCCTAGGGTCCTTGTCCCAAGGGGTAAATGGAGTATCTCCAGTCCAAATCAATCAGTTCCATGTTGCTCTTCAGTCAGAGGCTCCGAGCAAAAGGCCCAACAAAACTCGGTTGCGTTCTGCTCCCCTGCCAACAGTTGAACTTTTAGTGGCTTAATGGAAAACCCATGAGTTGGCAAAAAGTCGTTCAGTCCTAACATCCCTTGGCAAAATGCACCAAAGTTTCTTCAAATTCCTGGATGGGTCACTCCCTTTGGGTCAAAGGGGCCTATGGCTCTATGATCAGCTTGCGTTCCTCTGGGTCAAACTAAAACTGGGGCCATGGCTTCCCTGGACACGAATCCGCACTGGTCTGCATTCCAAAGTCCCTGGCCATGCCCGTGGATGGAAAAGCGGAAGAAAAAAAACACTTCGCACCAGCTAGATTTGGTGCGCTTTGTCCCAGTATTAAAGCTTTATCCATCCAAGTGGCGCAGTTTGTCCATCCAACTGGCGCAGTTTGCCCCAAGAAGGGCCTGCCCCCGGGTGCTCTCCAGCGCTTGTAAGTGCTTCTCATGACCTCAGTCAGAGGGGCCCTGTGTGCATCAGGACATCAGGGATACACAAACAAGGACCTTCGGATTCTGCATGATTCTGCATATTCACTCAACCCGAACAATTAGGACCAGGTATTGTGAACCAGAATCGAGTCCATTTTATAACCTACCGCCACGCTCTTAGCATGATGAACAATTGCTTGTTTGTGTGTGGTTGCTTGCTTGCTTGCTTGCTTGCTTGCTTGCTTGCTTGCTTGCTTGCTTGCTTGCTTGCTTGCTTGCTTGCTTGCTTGCCTGCCTGCCTGCCTGCCTGCCTGCCTGCCTGCCTGCCTGCCTGCCTGCCTGCCTGCCTGCCTGCCTGCCTGCCTGCCTGCCTGCTTGCTTGCTTGCTTGCTTGCTTGCTTGCTTGCTTGCTTGCTCTTGCTTGCTCTTGCTTGCTCTTGCTTGCGTGCTCGCTTGCGTGCTCGCTTGCGTGCTCGCTTGCGTGCTTGCTTGCGTGCTTGCTTGCTTGCTTGCTTGCATGCTTGGATCAGGTCGGCTAACACAGTGTTTTGGGGTTGGGCAGCTTAGAAAAGACTACTCTAACCAACTCAAGTGGTTTGACCCGTCCCCAACATTGACACAAAGAAGACGCACCAGACGCCTATGGAACAAACACCCCATTGAGCCGAGACACGCCGCAGCTCCGTGCGTTCCGCCACCAGGCGGTTGCAGGCGGACCTCAAGGTGAGTCACAATCCAAACCCGGTATGGTCGATCCCCAGAATGCTTCAAGAATTAAGAGGGCGAAGGCACCCATTTATGGGACCGGGATTATCCTTTACTCAGGTGCTGTTGAAAAACTGTCGACCTGGCAGGCAACCCCAAGTACCGGAAAGGACTGGACAGCTGGCATGCAAAAACCAGTCCAAAAGCGAATCGACCTTGTAGCCTTTTCAGCATCCCTTTCTGGGCCTTTTTGTCCAAGATCTCGAAGGTCCTTTGATTTCCAAGTAAAATCATGATGTGTCGGCCCCAACTGACGGGCTCTTTCCCTCCATGAGACAATCCCGACGGTTTACCGAGTAAAGCGACCTTTGCTTCAACTCACCGCACTGCTCAGTGCCATCTTTGGCAGTACGCTTTGGGTTGCTTTTGACGGCCAACGAAGTAGAAGCCATCCATTTTGAGGCTACAAAGGCTTAAACCGATAGCAACCGGAGCCCGGAAAAGTCGTCTCACCTGCACAGGCGACCATCCCGAAACCTCCCTTTGCTGATCGCTGCCATCCTCCTAACCAGATGCCTTGGCTGAACAAGGGACATACGGGCCGAACATCCATCGCAGCGGAACCGAGTCCCTGGAGGAAAATATGGAGTCCCACGAGAATGGCGCCCCAGGAGTTCCGAAACACCTCAAGTTTCCGACACCTCCAAAACCGTGGGACCCATTTGAACCCAAGTTGCGGTTTGCTTTTTCTTTTTTCCTCGCAGAGGAGGACGCCTAGAGGCCCGGGCATGTTCCATAAGTTGCCCTTGAACTGGGGCATGGCCTGGCAGATTGGCAGATCGGCAGACCCGTCCGATGGCCTGGTTGGATGCGTCTGCGTTGGAAGGGAAACCAAGAGGAAAGCCACATATGAGGGTGGGCCTTGGTTTAAGGTGAATTGTTGGCTTTCCAAGTATCTTGGACACAGACAAATGGGAACATTTGATGAGGGTGGCCCTTGGTTTAAGGTGAATTGTTTGGATTTCCAAGTCCCTGGAACACAGAAAGATGGGACATTATGGTCATTGGTTTTCTATCCGGGCGCCAATGATCAGAATTGGCGCTTTGGGTTGGCCCTTCTCCTTCCCAACCCGCAAATGATATTGTCGATTGCTCATGACCATCCACCGCGGCGAACTCGAGGCAACAACCCATTTGAGTATCCCTCCCGCTAGAACCATGCGTTTAGAAGCCCAAGACCAAAGCAAGCAGCACCAGATGGTCTTTACTTGTTCTTTGGGGCTGGGTGAATTCTCACTTAGCTCGCTTTCACAGGAAACCAGGAAAATTCCCATTTCCGGCCAAATGATCCCACATTGCATCGCCATCCGCCTACGGCAATTGCTGTCGCGGGAGCCAGCCGATCCGATTTGGCCACTTGCAAGTGGGAAAGGCATTCCGATCGCATGATCCCAATGATTCTCTTGTGATCTTAACTTTAACTTGGCGTTACACACCCGCAAACCCCGTCCAAATGATTCAGGCCCACTGTGGAGACAGCTGGCAACCTGCCTGGTACTGGGCGCAGGCCGCGAAACGCCGCGCGCCCGTCCCTTGATCTGAAACACGGCGGTCCCAGTTCGATGCAAAGTCGTCCACTCGGGTTTGGGCGACCCCCTTAGCTGTGTCTGGTCAACCACTTCCAGGGCTTTTTAGAGGGAACTCGCAATTTCAGCATTTCAAGGGCCATGTTTAGGGGTTGTTGTCCATAAAACTCACGCCCCCCCCCCCCCCAAGAAAAATAGAAAAAACAAAAAGTGACTTGTTGGGGTCCCCTCTGCGCGCCCCTGGCAAACACGGGAGCATTCCATTTCAGGGGTTTAGGGACACCAGCCGAAGACAAAAAAGAAGCACCCGCCGAAGCGGTGTAAAAATCCCGCGCCGCTCCCGTGCGGATCCCGAAATGTTTCTCGCCTCGTCAACTGGGAGTGCCTCCGGCTCCCCAAAAAACAACTCCAGTTCCATCAAACTGGAAACTTGCGTTGTATAAGGAGCCTTCATGGGTGACTTGTCTTTGACCCCAGCCTTAAATTGTCAAACAGAGCTCCAAGAAACGGATGCACCCAAACATGGACTGTTGCAAGATCCCCTGCTAGCAGTCTAACTTTTAGTGGTTTAGTGGAAACTGCCACTAAACCTAAAATGCTAAAAACCTTTCGGGGTGACTGGGAACCACCAAGGAACATGGCAGAGTTCAGAGGCACAATTGTGGGGGTCGTAGGTCCCCGAATTTGCTTTTGTTCCTCTCGGCCAAATTCATTTCGCGCGCGAAGAGCTCAACTCATTTGAGGAGCTCTAGGGCACGCGCTGAATCCTCAGGGAATGAGTGGCAGCGTTTACTGGGGCGGGTCATCATGCGTGCGAAGGGGTGGACCAACCAACCAACCAACCAACCCAACCCAACCCAACCCAACCCAACCCAACCCAACCCAACCCAACCCAACCCAACCCAACCCAACCCAACCCAACCCAACCCAACCAACCAACCAACCAAAACCAACCTGTGACTCTGGGTCTGCAAACCGTTGGGAAACGCCTTCTTGGGAGTCTGACTCCCTGCCAACAGCACACCTTTTGCTAGTTGAAAGGGAACCTGACGAACAAAACTCCAACCCCCCATTATGTCAAGCAAGTCTGGCTCACTATCCCATCTCCTCGCCAAAAGCAAAAGTGACAGGGCCCCGCGGCCCCGCACCTGCGCAGCTGACTCACCAACAGAGCAGCGCCAAAACACCATGGACTTTGGGCTCTACCAACATCATAGATTGATTCATGGCTACTAGTTGTATACTAGCGGCCAGGAAGGCTGCTACTGAATGAGCATTGGAAAACATGACATTAAGAAAGGCCTGTACGGGCCCCACGATAACCCTCGTGAAATCAGGTAGCCACCTACAAACTTTGGCCAACAGGAATCGGTGTTGGGCGCAGCGCCTGCTTTGGGTCAAACCCCGCCCCCCCAGGATGTGGCCAGATTTGCCCGTATGACATGGTGGCTTCCGTCATTTGCATATCCGACCCGTATGAAACCCGTATTTGTCCAACGCGGTTGAAAAGACGCGTAAAACTCCGTATGACTTCTGCGTTCAAAGGCCGAATGAGCAAAAAACACCTATGGAGTCCCAGGTCCAAGCAACACAAAAGGGGAAGCTTTTGCGAGCGCCTTTTGGCGCCTACCCTTGACATTGCTCAGCCAAAAGGACATCCAAAGCCTGCGGATGGGGTCTCAGCCTGGCCCAGTGGGAGGAAAATGTCCAAAGCCGCAGGAAAAACAACTGTTCTAGCGGTACCTTCCATTTCCATTCTTTCCAGGCGTCCTTCTTTCTACAAAAAGGAACACCTAAAATTATGGGCAAACAATTGGCGAAAATGAAAAGAACGATGGTTGAAAAGACTGGAAAAGAAATCAAGCCCTAGAACTGTCTGAGTTCCGTGCCTTCAGGACGTCGAGGTTCGCCAGGTCACATACCCCACGTTGAAGAGCACGAAGCAAACCAAAAAGCCCAGGATGGCATGCTGCCTCGGAGCCAATCGGCGCCTTATGGGATGAATCCCTGGGGCTGTCGCCCCATGCAAAAAAGCTGCAGCGACCTCGTTTTCCAACGCCACATAAACGCATGTGGACCTCAGCCACCTATATGTCACGGATAACCTCGTTTTGGGGGTGTTCCTACACCTAATTTAGTGTGTTGCCCCAAAATGTGTCCGCCTGGCTTTTTACCGTACTCTTCTGTAAATTAAGGCAGTCGCTCACATAACACTTCAGCTGTCTACGAGTGCATTCCCTATTCTCTTCACCCATTTCCCGAGTGTCTTTGCAACCACCTTCCCAGTGTCTGTTCAAACATTTGGCAACCATTTTCGCAGGGTCTCTCAAAAAACCGTTTTCCCAAGGTCTTTGCCCATTTGGTAACTTCTTTTCTGTAGTCTATTTTACTAGGGGAACCCTCGCGCAAGAAAGGGCAAAAGGGCACCACACTCTTGGTCATGGCAGGTAGCGCTGGCCGCTGGCCGCTGGGCTGCCCCGCGTGGTCTGGTGCTCCTCGCTCGCCTCAAAAATCAGTCGACCCCAACGCTGACCCCAGCGAAAAGAACCTGCTCCAGTCCTTTTCAAAGTCCTCCAACAAGTCTTTTTTCTCAAGAGTCCTTTTTTGGAGTCCTTTTTGGAGTCCTTTTTTGGAGTCCTTTTCCAAAAAGTCCTCCCAAGCATAGGAGTCCTCTTTTTGGAAAAAAGGAACGCCCTGACAGATCATTGAACCAGGTACCCCAGGAAGCGCCCTACTATTTGAACCAAACCCATCAACAAGGACACCTCTGCTCCCAACCTTCGCCATGGTCCAAACCCCAAAGGCATCAAGCCCAGGAACTCAGGGAGTGAGAGCCCCGATCAAAATCCAGGGGTCCAGGATCTTCTTTTTCCAGGGTTCCCAATGACGAAAGGGTTGAGGAATGGTGCCATGCCCAAGCCGAAGCGGGCGGCCTTTGGGCTATTTTTGGGGAGAAAAAGATGGCGACCAGGGATGGGTGAACCAGCGAGGTGCGAAGTGGTTGGTCTAGGTGCAGGAAATGTCTGTACTAAAACGAGAAGTAAAACAGGACCAACAGGGAGAAGCGAACGTTCCCTTTGGGCTTCCTTTGAACCAAGCAAAATCAAGCAAAATCGCGCAAACACACACACACACACACACACACACACACACACACACACACACACACACACACACACACACACACACACACACACACACACACACACACACACACACACACACACACACACACACACACACACACACACACACACACACACAGGGTTTGGTCGCCACTCCCCATCCGCCTGGCCCCAAAAACAACCCAGGGCCTGCGCTGCTATTCTCTTCCCCTCCTTTCCTGCCGCGGAGAAACGTACACCAAGGTTCCCTAGATTTTCCCGAACATGCACAAACGGAAACTCGTTTCAGCTGCAGAGACAAGTCAAGTTGCTTTGCTAACGGGCAAATCATGTCAACTTGGAAGATGTGCAGCTTTAACGGAGGGAGGGCTGCAAGCCTCCCGCCTTGTGGGGAACGTAGTTCAGGGAATTCCTTTGAGTAATATGGGACCGAAGCCAAACCTAGCCGAATGGTTTACCGACGAAGTGTCTTGTCTGACGGCACCTGGGTTTCAAAATGCAAACCAAAGGGAACGCGCAATTGCGGAACAAGCGCACAAATAGCGACAATCACTCAAATGTTGTTCCTGCGATTGTCCTGGGGGACGATGGGCTTCAAAATGGCCCGGCTTCACCATGGAAAACCAGGTTAATCGCACATGGGCACACGTTCGCACATGAGGTCATGAGGTCCGCCCCTTAGACACGTTGCCACACCGGCATGGGTGATCGAGGCCTGAAAACATACCCCAAGTTGGCGGGTTTAAACATCACCTTAGCATAGTCCCATAGTTGACTTGAAACGGAGAAACACACCAGTCTAATGGGGGCAAAAAACGCGAAAGGAAACTCTTCTATTTCAAACATGGCAACAAGGGGATCTCATCACCCAAGAAAATACTGTGGAGGTTTGCGGGAAACAAACACACGCGCACACACACACACACCAGGGATGTATGAAGCCCGAATACCCGATGGATACTTGTCGAAAAAGCCATCCAGCTGGTTGCGGAAGTTGGCCCCATCCGTAAGACCCCTCTTTGCACGTGCAACCACAACCAACTCACCCGATTCCCACTCAAATCTGTCTAGCTTGACAGCCAGCCGATCTCAGTGAAAAACGGCGACTAAAACAAATGGGGGCTGAATATAACACTATGGTTGACCCTTTCGAAATCATGAGCCAAGGCCATCCTCACACTCAGTCCCCCAAATGGGACCGAAAGCAAAGGTAAAGGATGATCTTTTGGGGCACGTAAAACCAAAAAAGGGAAACCAAAAAAGGGGAGGAAACATGGGCCAACAAGGGAAAACCCAAAAGTTCCATTTGAAGTGAGTGTGGGCCGCTAACATGGAACCCTGGGCAAATAGAAATCGGGATCCATGCCCCACATAGTGGCTGTGGTGATGTCAAAACCGTTAAACGGGATCCCATTTTGGTAGGGATTGGTGAATTCACCCAACTTAGAACCTATCTTAGTGGAGAAATTGGCATGTTCACTGGGGGCTAACCAATTTGGATCTTGACCCATGGCCACATTGGACCATTCGGATTTGCCACTTGTTGAATACCGAAATCAACCAAAACAACCAAATCAACACACCTGCGGATCCACCCACTCCCAAGTGGAGCACCTCCACCGCCGCGCCTTTCGCGGCCGCGGCCTCCGCCTTGGGCGCCGCCTTGGGCGCCGCCTTCGGGGGCTTCGCCGGGCTCGCCGGGCTCGCCTAGCTGGGCCGGGCCAAGCGTCGGCGTGGATCAAACGGAGAGACCTTGCCAGAGATCCGGATGCATGAAAAACTCCGATCGAACATTGCGACTTGTAAATGGTGCCCCTTTCTCTATTTTGGCGTTGAAGAAGCAACAGGTTTCAAATGGGCATGCAAAATGGAGATCTTTTCAGGAGCCCTGCTTTCTCGGTTGCTTTCCATGGGCATAGACGTGTCCACAGAAACCTAAGGGTCATGACATGGCACCCCTTCAGTGTTGGAGGGCCCAAAATCACTTTTTTGAATTGAGACCCTTAGTCAAATCCCTTCGGCTGCGTTCGGGTAAGGACACCCGAAGAATATCCGAGAAACTCTGCATGGTCTAGTGGAAACTAGCTTATACATCTCGGTTGCTTTCTACTCCCCTGCGAAAAGTGAACAACTTTTGGTGGTTTCATGGTTGAAACCCATTGGTGGGCAAAAACTTAAAGTCCTAACATCCAAGCAAAATGCATCAAAGCTTTCGTGGCGTTCCTACTGTTGATGCTACGATGCTGCAGGTCAGTGGCTCGAATCCACGTGACGTCACTAAGCGGACAAGCTTAAGACGTGTCCTGTGGTGCCGAAAAATGTTGGGCCAAAGAACATCAGCCCATTTCTATTTGGGGGGGACTCGGAGGCTCTGAACCCCATGCTAGTTCGATCGGGACCTGGCGGATTGATTTCGGAACCTGGGCACGGACGTGTCGGGGACTCGGTGTCCTTTAGGTTTGGTTCCGGGGTCGCAGGCGGTGAGAGAATAACTCGCAAGCTGAACCATCCAACTGCCTTGCCAAAACCCCGAGCTGCCATCCCAAGCTTCAGCCAGCAGCCATTCACATTTCGCGAGCCCTGCCCAGAAAAGGGAAGGAATCTGCCGTGGAAATCCCCCGGATTGTTGAAATGTAACCCTCCACAGAAGCCAGGCCTTTGGAGGGTCCAAGGCCGGGGCCGATTTCAGGAGACCACAATGGTGGTTCATATGGCCAGGGGTCAAAACCCTGCACCGTCAACATCAACCAATCCAACCACTAAGATAGGAAGCCTAAAATGGGTGGTGAATTCACCTACCCCCAACATGGGATCCCATCGGTTTTGACCCACAGCCATAGTGCAAAACAAAGAAAATCGACAAGTGCGGCATGCACACCACATACAACTACTATTGCTCTCACAGTTAGAGAGACAAATTCGCCAACCCAAAAAAAGATGAAAAGGTCTTCGCCATCTGAGCGCAGAGCGCGTTCGAAGATACTCCTCAGACGCAAGGCGGCAAGGCGGCAAGGCGGCATGGCGGTCCGCCATGCACCCAATCCACCCCCTTCTAACTAAAAACTAATTACCCCACTTGAAAAGGGTCCTGTGAAAAGGAGGTATGTCCAATGGAAAGAAATGAACGGCGAGTATCTGGGTAGGTGTCAAAATACTAGGAGGATTTCGTTTCCCCATGAAACAATCTGAAGTTGGTACCGAGACTCAAAACACGAGGAACCCTTGTACGCCACCCACAGGGGTCCACCGTGTTTAGGACACCCCAAAACAAGGAGCACCAAACAAAGCTTCGCCGCAAAACACCACCTACATTTCCTGCTGGCTCAAAATTGGAAGCTTAAAGCTTAATTTGATTCAAGTCGCCACTAAATGAAGACACATTTAAAAATGCAAAGTTTGAAGGTTTAGTGCTCGACAAAACTGGATTGGGTCTTTTGTTTTAAGGGACCCAACCCCCAGCTTGCTTTCCTTCATATAACCCACAAAAGGAATGCCAAAGCAACAAACACGAGCCACACGTGTGTGTCCGTTTTTGGGATTGGCTTCGTTTCGTGGTAGTTTCTAGCTGTTTTTTTTTCCTGGGCTAGTTTTCCGTAGGGCTGGCAACATCACCAGCCTCACTTGGCCCGCGGGTTGCCTATAGGCTCTGATTGGAAGGCAGTTGGGAGTTGCTGGGGGCTGGTTTAAGTTAGGGGAGTTTAGGCTGGCTTAGATCTTGAGGGTGGGGCCTGGGGGGTGGTTTAGGGTTGATTTAGGCGAAGCGAAAGGGCTGACATCCAGGCTGCTGTTGGGCGAATTTGGGGAAACCACCAAAACTCGCCCACAACTCACGCAACCACAGTCCCAAAAAGCAACCCTAAAAGCAGCGCTTACCCAGCAGCAGCACAAGTCAGCTCCAAGCCAACCCCAAATCCACCCAACAGCAGACAGCCCTTCGATTCGCCTAAATCAACCCCTCAAGATCTAAGCTAGCCTAAACCCCCCTAACTTAAACCAGCCCCCAGCAACTCCCAACTGCCTTCCAATCAGAGCCTATAGGCAACCCGCGGGTCAAGTGAGGCTGGTGATGCCGGGGATGCGGCAAGCCAACCAACCAACCCACCCACCCCAACCCAGCCCAACCCAGCCCAGCCCAGCCAGCCCAACCCAAGCAACCAAGTAATAAAAAAAACAAAAAACGGATCCTTCGTTTCCTTGGGGCCAAACAAAAATAGGCTGAGCCTCTGAGCTTCTGCCCAGAAGGACCTTCTCACCGCGCCTCAGCGCGCATCGGGTCGACTCCGCGACATAGGGGCGGTTTACATCGTCGTGGGGTATTAAGGACACGACGGAAGAATATGCGAGACACTCTGCATGGTGTAGTGGAAACTAGCTTATATGTTACACCCAAAAACCACACCTCTTCAGTGATCAGTTTCTTCCCAATAATTGGCAGAGGGAAAACTGGGGGTCAGCAAAATCAACAAGCCCCCCCCAGTTTATGTGGAACGAGCTCCATTTAAACCGCAGCGGCCGCACGCAGGGGCCAACAAGCGGATCTGAGCTTTGGACCCTGGGGCTCGAGTTGTCCTTTTCGGAAAGGCGTCTTGCTGAGCCACCCTGTCTGCCAAACGGCTTCCCGCTTCGAATTTCGAACCGGAGCCTCAAACTTCAGCTCCAGCTTCAGTTGTGACTAAGCCTCAAACTCTTTGGGTAGTACCCTGTGTTCAGAAGCATTTGTCTCAAGCCCCGAACAGAGTCTTGTGATGGTACACTTTGGACAATCGCAATCGCCCTAGCCGAAAAAGAATGGAACGCACCAAACATCCCACAACCCAAACATGGGTGTGTCATTTTGAAGGCAGACTCTTGTTTCCTTGCTGTTTTGAAGGACAACCAACAGGATTGCAACTGGAACATCAGTCATGTGTTATTTTTCCAATTGACCAGAAGCATTAGCTGGACAATCAGTCAATGTTGCGCCTAATTGCTGTAACGTGTAGAGAAAAATAGCTGGAGAATCAGTCATGGATTGGAATGCCCAGGCTTGCTTTCCGCCATGTTGGTGTTCCAACTTGTCTAATCCCCCAAGAAGCCATTCCATTGCAGAAGACTCTGACAAGGGATATCAATCAGCAGTCTCCTCAATCCAACTGGCACTAGGCCATCTTGCAACCCAACAAATGGCGCAATCTCCTGCTTAAGAAGACGATTTCAACATAGATCTCAAGTGTGCACCATCTCCCCCTTCTGTTTTCCTTTGGATTCCCTTTACAACAGCCCTGAAAGGTTGCCTTTGGGCATCCCCTACATATATTCGAAAACCTTCCCAACTGCCAGTTTGAGTTCCCTGACCCGGGGAACAAGCATTGCCCCTTGCAGTTCCCTTTAAACAATCCCCTTTTCACCAGCCCCAAAATTGGGGCTGGTCTCGCTTCAAAGCAACAGATCAGTCGGATCCTGAACGACCCCCCCGTAGGAATCGTTCAAGGCGAGGGCACCGGTTTCGGCGGTCCAGAAGCAGTTGGGGAGACCGGGTGCTACCTATGTAAAGTAGCTTTGGAGGTTTTGGAGATGCCAGGAAAAAAGGAAAGAAACACGAAGCCAATCCTCCGGGCGATCATCTCTCAACGGACCCGAGCAGACCGGCCCAAGGTTCACTCAATCCCGAGGAGCCATCATCAAAACCTGATATTGAAACGGACCTTGCACCTAAAACCACGGCCAACAAAACTCAAGGCGGAAATCTGTACCTATTTCTGTTTGTCCAACTAGGGTCCTTGCTTTATCCGAAGCTAACATGACCAACCTTCCTCTACCGGGTCTTGATGGCCCCAGTCTTGACGAGGAGCTTGGCACCTGCTTGGCATCGTTGCCATTGGCCTTCACGCCGTTCGACCTCGGACCGTCGGATCGACGCAGTGTTGGGGGTGGAAGACGCCGCTTGGAACATTCAACACAGGAGACTCGATGGGAGTTGATGTTGTCTTTGGGAGCCTAGCTGGAACAAAGCAACTGTGAGCGGATTGATTGTGCCCCCCCCCCCCCCCCAATGACGTTGGACTTTGGTGAGCAACGACAGCAAATATTGACCGCTTCTCATTTCTCGCAAAAAAAGTGCTTCCTTTGAGCTTCCCCATGCAGGAGTCCTTCTTTGAGGGACCCTTCTGGGGTCATGTTACAGGGAAAGCAAAAGGAAGCCACCCAGTGTCAAAAAGACACATTGGTCCACAAATACGAAGCTGACGTAATGCCAGCATGCTGTCACTGAACAAACCTGCTGTTCTTCTGAGCAGTCACCCAAGCCAGGAATGCTGCTACTGTTTTGTGCCACGGTCGCAGGGATTGAGATTTGCAGTGCCCAACCGAGCACTCGATGTTGGCACACTTTTCCGCAAGTTGTGCTTTGCACCTTGGGCTCTCGTGTTTTGGCCTGAGCAAGCAATAGGCGCTTTATAGGTCCTACACCGAAGCTTACCCCACACAAACAGAACAGCTCTGAAATAGGGACGCGCCCTAGAAATCCAGATTGTCATCAAATTGGGGCCGGCCCCATCCGCCCCATCCGCCCCCCCCCAGCCCCCCACAAGAAACAGAAACAGAATGCCGCCGGGCCTTTCAGCGGCCAATCCACATCAACCCCCCCTACAACTGAACTGTTTGCCTACTGAACTGTTTGGGGACACAACAAAGACGCACTGCACCGCACTCCACCGGACTCTCCGAAGCTCCGAAGCTCCGCTCGCTTCGGCGCCCGCGCTTTGCGAGCGGCGGGCTCTCGGGCTTTGACTTAGTGACTTGGTCGGGGCCCGGCGAGGGACGACTCAAAAAAAAGAGGCTCCAACCAAAGCGGACGAAACTTCCGGGTTTGCCTGGACATATGGCTGTGGATCGAAACCAACGGTACCATTTTGGGGTAGGTGCACTACCCATTTTAGTCTATCTTGGTGGTTGGATTGGGATGTTCACTGGGGGTGCGGGGTTTTGACCCATGGCCATATTGTTCAAAAGAGGTTCCATGGAAGATACAGTACCTCCCGTGCTCAGGGAGGTTTTAAGGAAACCAAATATTCTAGCGGTGAACAAAATCAATGACTCTAGATCAACTGGGCAGAACTCGTCGAAGAGGTTGGCCCTTGAAGAATAACAAACAAAGATGTTCTACCATGGGAACCCAAGATCCCTCTTTTTGTAGGTTGCATGTGATTCGCCCTCTCGCAAATATGGAAATGGTTTCCAACTGAGCGACCTACAAAAACATTTGGTTCAGAAGACCAGGTTGTGGACACTCGAGATTCCCTGCGGTGGATGCATTGCCTCTTTTGTTTTGAGGTGGGGGGAGGGTGGAGGCGTCAACCTCCTGCTCACCGCAGTTAGCAAGAACACCCGCAAGTTTCACAAAATATGCCAGCAAGTGGCCAGTGCCCTTGCAACCATGTGTTGGAATCTCTGTGGTACATTGGGGCGATAGAGGGGTACATGGATGGGCCCTTGGACGACAGCGCAGGTCAATCTTCGGTCTGCTGTCCGATAAGATGGCAGCCATCGGAGCAAGCTATTGACTGTTGGTACCAAGATGGCCACAAAAGGTACCTCGCACCTTTGCCCCCATTTGGCCCCACTTGGTCCATGTTGAGGACGGTTGCCTCTTCTCTACCTCACCTCGCAGACGTTTTCTTTCTGGCCAACGGAAAGATATCCCCTTGGCCCATCAGCCCAAAAACTCCGAGCTTCCCGGCCTTGGCCTTCGGCCTGCGCGCGGTTTTCCCCGGAAAGCCGCGAGTCGGGTCCAAATTGAACCCCGTGCCCCCGAAAGGAAATCGACCAATTGGGGGGGGGGGGAGAGCGGCCAATGGAGCCAAGAGGGAAAAACAAGGGCAAAGGTCCCTGCTACACCCAATGTGACTCTCCTAATCAATGGCAACATCCAACAATGGACCCCTGCTTGGGCCTCATTCTGCCGTCGGCAGTAAAGACGGCCCTGGTGGGGACACTGCGAAACCGGCGGCGGAAGCCTTGCATTGGCCCCACGACAAGGAGCGTCAAAAAGGTGACTATAGTGGGAAATCCTGGATTGATAAACGCTGAGTTGACTAGCCAAGGATCCTCCGTGTTTTGGGTAACATATCCTAGCAGTTGATTCATCCGGCGTCGACTTCGGTCACCAAGGCCCACGGATGTTTCGGGACCAGGGACTGATGGGTGCGCTTCGGGACCAGTTAGACACACAGGTGTCCGCATGGTGTGTGTGTGTGTGTGCGTGCGTTGTGTGCGTGCTAAGTGTTGTGTGTTGTGTGCGTGGTGTGTCTTCTGTGTCTGCGTTGTGTGTGTGTGTCTGCGTTGTGTGTGTGTGTGTGTGTGTGCTGAGTGTTCTCTGCGTGTGCGCGTGCGCGTGCGCGTGCGTGCGTGCGTGCGTGCGTGCGTGCGTGTGTGCGTGCGCGCGTGCGCGCGTGCGTGCGTGCGTGCGTGCGCGCGCGCGGGCGTGCGGGCGTAAGTGCGTGCGTGCGTGCGTGCGTGCGTGCGTGCGTGCGTGCATGCGTGCGTGCGTGCGTGCGTGCGTGCGTGCGTGCGTGGGTGCGTGGGTGCGTGGGTGCGTGGGTGCGTGGGTGCGTGGGTGCGTGGGTGTGTGTGCGTGTGTGCGTGCGTGCGTGCGTGCGTGCGTGCGTGCTTGCGTGCGTGCGTGCGTGCGTGGGTGCGTGGGTGCGTGGGTGCGTGGGTGCGTGGGTGCGTGGGTGCGCGGGTGCGTGGGTGG